TGAAATCATTTTTTGTGGTTGTTGTTAGACATGTATTGTTTTTCTTTGCAATGTCTCATTTAATTTACGAGCTCCCAGAGATGCAAGATTATTAAATCTATATGCAGGTGATCGTAGACAGATTAACACTCATCCCCGTCCAATCTCGTCTCATCTATAAATCATCAGGGGTGTGGATTATAACGTTACCTTGTCAATACAGAGATGATGAAAGAAGAAGCAGCGACTCCAATCCAATCATGGTTCACCCTGAGATCTATGAGCTGTCAGGACTATGGACTATATGACAACTACGTCTAAATGGAGGTGGAGAGGGTGAGGGCCAAGGATGGGGAGAGATGTGCTGCCAATCCAATCTCGTCAGAGCAACAAGCTGTCAAATGTGGGTTACGCTCCGTGACAATCTTATCAACCACATCGATATTAAGGAGGCAGAAAACCAGATTATATGATGACTGTATCTGTGAGGATTATTTCCCTCTGCAGGCATGTAAATCTGTTTTTACACAGGAAGATAAGACCCCAAACACAAGAGCTGTTAGACAACAGAGCAAAAATCAAAAGGCGTTTTATAAAAACATGTTTTTATCAGCTACTTTTCTTATATTCGATCAGTGAAGTCATAAAACTTTATGTTTTATTGATTCAGTAAAGAGTAACAGCTCCCAGTTTATTTCTGACAAGCTGAGTCATTTACTGTTGCTGCTGAGTCATAGTGAGGAACCAACAGTGAGCCAACTCAGCCTCTCCACTTTTTATACCTAACGTTCTGTCATTTGCTCCTCATGCTCATTTTATGGTTGTTTTTTATTATTACTCACCTTTCACATGAAATAATGTTTAATAGACTTTCTAAAACATCTCATTCAGGACAAGCAGCACAACGCTGTCAGGATCTGTGTGCTTTACTCCTTAGTCTTTATTTACTGGGTTTATTCTAGGTTTTTCTGCCAAATAAAGTTTATTTCCTGACTTTAGCCAACACAAAACAACTCTTAGTTAAAGTAATTGTTGTGTTCTGTAAAGTCAGTTAGCTGGGCTGGTTGTTCTGAATCAAGTCATCTACAAAATGTAATCAGCTGCAGATTTAATCCCATGGTTAATCTGTCCGGTGAGTCATTAGGTATTTTGCTAATAGACAGCAATGGTTGATTCCAACAGCTAATGCCAAACAGATACTGATGTAAAGCTCAACAATTAAAGTATGGAACCAGAAACAACAATTATGTTGTTTTCCTCCTGAAGAAGTAAACAACATATAAAGCATACGTTAGAAGTAAATGTTTATCAAATACTGTCTGGTGTTACTAGGTTCCTTTTAAATGTTTCTCTAATTCTAATGCCACATACATATATATATATATATATATATATATATACACATACACACACAACCTTATGTGCCCTTCATTCATATACAGTATAGCTAATGTTAAATCACCACATATATGCATTAGCTCAGGCACTAGAGCTATTTCACCATATATACATATGTATTAACTTAAAAGCTAATGTTATATTGCCACATGCATGTATTAGCTTGAGCATTAATGCTATATCGCCATATATACGTACGTATTAGCTTGGGTGCTAATGCTATGTTGTCAAATATGCAAATAAATTAGCTCAAGCACTAATGTTATTTTGCCAGATACAAATATGTATTAGCTTGGGCTTTAAATCACACAGATTTTTATCTATTAGCTATTAACTCGGTGCTAAAGCAAAAACTAAAGGCTACGACTGAGGTGCTCCTTCCATGAAGCAACTCTCAACTCATATTTTCTGTTTCAATGAATAATGTTTACATTCTCGTCTCTGTCAGCGCACTCTTGTTTTATTTAAAACAGTATTTTAACAGACTGTTTTATGGAAGTAATTATTCATCAAAATAATATTACAACTAGTCGGGGTTCCCTTTAAAGTAACTTCCATTCATGTAAACAGTGAACTAAGATGTTTCTTAGTCTTTTAACACTTAAGTTCTTTATATCTGCCTCTGCAGCCAAATATAGACTGATTAGAGGATCCAACTAAATTAAAACAAAAACTTTTAGAGACAAAGAAGCAGATAATTTGTTCCCGTCTGCAGCTGTCAGAGCAGAGAGCACTTCATCACTCGTCTGCCATCAGGACGGCTCCCAGGCTGTGACGGCTATCACGTTTGACAACCGCCACCCACCACCGACGGTGGAGACAGATAAGTGACACGAGGCGTGCATCCTGAGAGCGAGACGGAGCGGAGCTGAAGCTCGTTTGATCGGATGAGATCTTCAGCGCAAGATCTGTGTGTCGGGAAGCTGAGGAGTGACGAGACTGACAAACTGCAGCACCGAGAGCAGAGAAATTAGACTCAGATGATGATGATGTGTGAGAGCTTTAATTAATGTGACTGATATAATACGATGGAAACAAGAGGATTATAAGACACATAATAATAACAGAAATCTGTATCTCATGTTTACTGGTTGAATATGTTGGCAAAAACTCAAAATAAAAAGGAAAAAGAAGAGAAAATGTCCCCTTTGGCCTCCTAAATAATTTGCCTAGCACTGAATTTTTAATGCTTCTTTGGTCAAACTCAATCCAATAAACAGTCATGTCAGTCAAAGTAAAAAAAATAGTGATGAAGACGTAAAGTAAGGAGAAAATTAGAGGAAGAGTGTGAAAAACATTGTGAGGGACAGCATGAGTGTTAGAAAGTGAGACTGTGGGCGAGATATAGAGGGCAAAGAGGGCAGATCTGTGAGAGAAAGTGAGATGGATAGACGAGCTGTCTGATTGCCATTTGGCGTTTGACAATCGGAGAGGAACCAGCTGGGGTCACGTCGACTTACCGAGTCCGCCAACTCAGATGGGTTTAAAGAGAGAGATCAGTAATCAGCGCTCTCCTCTAACACACAAAATGTCCAATTCTGATCAGATTTAAGATGTATTTTCATACAACGTAGGTGTTTCTGACACATGGCCAAATAATGCCTTCAGTCTTTTTATAATTTCTGGCTGTAAACAAAATTAAAACCAACACCTTTATTATTATGAACCGATGAGCCAAAACTTGGTAAAAAGCCCACATAAAAAGTAGCATTCCTGAAAAAGGATGACTAATAACTTTCATTTAAATATTAAAGTTTCAAACAAAGGTGATGCTTGATTCAAGAATTCAACTAAATTCAGCTTGTTTTCAGTGAATTAAAGGTTTCTTTTTTTTGTTTACTTTCATATAAACATAAAAATGTTCCACTTTTTAAATAATAGTGTTCACTTTTTTCTTTTTTTCTAGTGGTTGGCACAGTTCTGCTAAACCGCCAATCTGCTAATAGCGGAACAAGATTATTATTTAGCGGATTAGCTTTATGCTAACTTTGTGAACTGTTACTGATTGGCTTCTGTTAAATTAGGTTCTGCTAATTTTAAGTCCGCTAAAAGTTTCCAAGTGTAAAGCTTCTATTTTTATGCCGTTCATCCCAAATTAAATGAAACATATCCCCTCTTTCAGGCATCGTGTGTTAGCATGTAGCATCTTTAGCAGCTAATCGTCAAACTAAGAGCGTCAAAAAGAACAGAATAACAGTTGATATTTAAATGAATATAAAAATTGACTATATATAAAATATGGCAGAGGACGTATTTGCTACTAGTTTAATTTATTAATTTAAATTACACCAACAGAAAAATTAAACTGGAAGGAGATGAAGACATATAGCCATAGAAGTTAGCATTAGCTTCCCCTAACATTTTATCAGTTTAGTGGTTAAGTGTTAGCAGAACTACCATGTTCAGCAGATTAGAGGTTACTAGCTGTGTTTCCATTGACCATGAAAATGCGCAAATTAGAATTTCAAAAATGAATTTGCTCAATGGAAACACGTCAATTTCGGGGAAAAAAATGTTTTTCAACAAAATGTTTTTGCACTAGGATGAGGTGGTTTTTCAGTCGTATCGAAATTGGTGTTTTTCGCAAAACTGCAATGGAAACAGTTTTTTTCACATCACAGGAGTCACGTGATCAACAACCGGCTGTTTCTACTGGTGAAAAAGACGATGATGAAGAAGATAACAGGAAGTAGAAGTAGCAGTAATATCACAGAAGTAGTATAAAATAGTAAACTCACCGACTACAATTTCCCAAAAACACAGCAAACGTAGCCGCTCCCAAGTAGGGACTTGTCTCTGGAAAGCCTCGATAAATGACGCCGACGTCTCCTCTGATGATGAGCGCTAGTGTCGTGGTAGCAACATGCTATGTGTTTACATCCATCGCTGCCATGTTTGTAATGACTTATCGCGAGAACAAACGTATTCACGTGACTTTAATAACATTTCTTACTTAATGGAAACACTGCAGTTGTGAAACTGAGTTTTTTCAACATTAACAGAATATTGACAAAGTTTTGCGCACATTTGCAATGGAAACGCAGCTATAGAAGCTAACTTTTTAGTTAGCTGTGCCCACCACTGCTTAATTCCATCCATCTCAACATTATGTTCAGAAAACATAGTCCCCCATCATCACACTCCCTCCTCTGTGCTTCAACACCACGACTATCAGCTCCCTGACTCCTAGCATTCATTGTGTTTCTTTATGCTTACTTCACCAAGGTTAAACAATGAAGTTTGGAGCCAAAGAGCAGAGATATTTTTCTCCTCAGCTACCATCAGACTGACTCTATGAGAATCTTACAGCTGCTCATTCTGCAGGTATTGATTTCAGAGTCGTGTAAGAAGTCAGACGGTGGTTCTGATTAACGACAGCACTGCTTTTTCTCCCTCTGATTGCAGCTGCCATTGTGTTTTATATTTCTACTTTATTCTTCCTGTTTCTACCCATTGAATGACTCAAAGTTGTTTTAGCTCCTGTTTAAAGTGAAACACTTTCTACTAAAAGCCACAATACTAATATGCAGGTAAAGAAGTGACCGGGATTGGATCCATTTAAGATATTTTGATGAGAAAACTTCCAAAAACTCAAAAAAGAAAGTAACAATGTGGAAACCTACCAGTTGGTAGGGCAGGGTCCATGGTGGGTTTCTCCCAGGAGTTGACTTGTTCCCAGGTGAATCCATTGGTTCCCAGAGACACGCTGTATCCACAGCTGCTGTACGACTCCTCGAATGTACAGCCGCCTAAACACACAGAGAAGACTTGTGAGTTTACAAGTTACCCAAGAGTCCAATCATAACATTATACCAAGTGTTAAAGTGTCTTTAAGGTTTGAGTTAACAGCACAGTCACTAGCAGCTCATTCAGTAATATTAATAATATATTACTAATTAAGACCTCTGCCGTGTTTGACAGAACCAACAGAAGACGTCGGCTGTTGTTTTTCTAGAAAAGGCTGACGGGGAGACAGAGAGGAGAGAAAAAAGAAACAGACCGATGAAGAGAAAGCCTCACGTGTCAGCATGATTAAGTCATAGTTTCTCATCATTTCATGGCCCAGCTAAGACACATTTTCCGCTACATTAGCTTGCTCCGTTAGCCCCGAGCGGTCCACACACATCCTAATTAGACATATGCTTTGACACACAACCATTTTAATTTGTTTGGAAGTATTTGAAATGGGAGAACGTGCTTGTTTCGTTCAATTAAATCAAATAAAGCTCAATTTCGCCTTTTTGTTCTGGTCTCATCTTCGGGACTAAGCATGAGCTCATCCTCTCTGCTGCACCTAAACACCTGCTAACGTGAATTCAGATCTACTGACCAAACCAGAATCTGTTCTGCTGAGGTTCGAAGGGCAAACTGGACGTTTATTTCTCTGGAGTAATAAAAACTATAACTCCTTAGCAGCAGTAAGCACAATTTTCTTACATTAGCAAACACAACACTTCCCACTACTCTGACCTTGATGCTTGTAGTTGTCAGCACAAGTACAGATTTATATTTACAGCATTTAAATATACACTGAGATTATAGCCTATAGATGTACGTTTGTTAACCATATGTAATAAGACTTTATGCTAATTAGTACCATGTCTTAACCTACGGCTGAAGCAATAAAATGATCAAAGAGTTGTTTTTGCCAAAGGATGATGTTAGTAGGGATTTTTTTTTAGCTGGCAGAAAAGACCATATTTATAAAATTATAATAAGAAATCAATGTTATAATCCCTTAAGGTCCACCTCTTCCAGGCATGAACTAGTTTTTGGGTTCAATTTTAATAAGTTTCAAAACCAATGAAATTTACTCTGAAATTGTTCTGAAAGTTTAAACTTCATGACATGCAGCGAGCTCCAGGTCAGTTCATACCACCTTTGGTCATTACGTACCCAGGTGTTTTGGGTACATAAAGAAGCTGCCTGCAACATGTTTCTTCATACCTGCCTTTTGTACCCAGCTGATAAAAACATAAACTGTTGTGGCTAAAATGAAAGGCTGAATACGAAACAACTACTGAGAACGAGATGGAGGTACGATTTAGAGGAGGTACGATTTGACCAGCATCCTTTCCATTATTAGGCAGCGTAAAGGAGAACTCTTCCTCCCAATTCAACTGTCGGTCAGCTGTGTGAGATGGCTAAAGGACGAAAAAACACACTAAACTTCAGAAGGTGGTCTCTGAAGTACATGTTGTCTTTTGGGGGCAGAGACAGCCCTACTCGTGATTGGCAGAGGTCTTGATATGGGCGGAGACAGCCCTACTCGTGATTGGCGGAGGTCTTGATGTGGG